TGAGACCGCAGTCGGGGTTGACCCAGAGCTGCTCAGGCTTGAGGTAGGTGAGCATCTCGGCGAGACGGTCCTTGATCTCCTGCTCGGAGGGGATACGAGGGGAGTGGATGTCGTAGACACCAGGACCAATGTGCCGGGGGTAGGCCTTGTCCTCAAAGACCTTGAGGAGCTTGGCGTCGCTCTTGCTGTTCTCGATGGAGAGGACATCAGCATCGAGCGCGGCAATGGCGTGGAAGAAGTCCTGGAACTCGGAGTAGCAGAAGTGGGAATGGATCTGGGTAGAGTCCTGGACACCAGCGCAGGCGAGCTTGAAAGAGTCGACAGCCCATGAGAGGTACTTCTCGCGCTCAGTGCCGGCACGGAGAGGAAGACCCTCACGGAGAGCGGGCTCGTCGACCTGGATGACGTAGATGCCAGCAGACTCAAGGTCAACAACCTCATCGCGGAGGGCGAGAGCAAGTTGCTGGGCCTGGACAGACTGGTGGACATCGTCACGGGGGAAGGACCATCGGAGGCAGGTGATGGGTCCAGTAAGCATACCCTTCATGGGCTTCTTGGAGATGGAGGCGGCGTACTTGGACTCCTTGACGGTCATGGGAGCAGGGCGCGAGATGTCACCGACGATGATCGGGGGACGGACGCAGCGGGATCCGTAGGACTGGACCCAACCCTTGGTGGTGAAGGCATAACCGTCAAGGCGCTCACCGAAGTACTGCACCATGTCGTTACGCTCGGGCTCGCCGTGAACGTAGACGTCAAGGCCAAGCTCGTCCTGGATCTTGACGACCTCCTCAATCTCCTTCTCGATGAACTTCTCGTACTCCTCGGGTGTGATCTCACCCTTGGTGAACTTGTTACGCGAGATACGGATCTCCTTGGTCTGGGGGAAGGATCCGATGGTGGTGGTAGGGAACATGGGAAGGTTGAGGTGCTTCTTCTGCTGAGCGTAACGCTCGGGGAAGCCAGACTTGCGCTCGTGCTGCTCAGGGGTGACGCTGGCCTGGCGGTCCTTGACAGCCTTGTTGTTGGTGCGCTCAGATGAGGCACGAGCCTGCATCGACTTGGCGTTGGCCTCAAGAGCCTCACGGACGGATGCTGGGCCGTCGTTGACAGCCTTGGCGATGACAACGACCTCGGAGACCTTCTGGCAGGCGAAGGAGAACCAGTCCTTGACCTCCTCGGGCAGCTTCTTCTCGCTGTCGAGAGAGTGGGGAGTGTGGAGAAGGGAGCTGGAGGTGGCAACGAGGACACGGTCCTTGCCGAGCTTCTGGACAGCAGTCTCAACAATCTCGATGGCGTTCTTGAAGTTGGTCTTCCAGATGTTGCGGCCGTCGACGACACCAACTGACAGAACCTGGTTGGAGCCAAGCTTACCGATGACGCTCTCGAGCTGCTCAGGGTTCCTAACAAGGTCGATGTGGATACCAGCAACACCCTGGAGGCTGGGGAAGACCTCGAAGTTGTGGACGATGTCACCGAAGTAGGTGGCAAGGACAAGCTTGGGCAGACCGCTGCCGACGAGCTTCTCGTATGCGGGCTTGAAGGCATCCTTGACCTTCTGGGGGAGGTCGTAGACGAGGACAGGCTCGTCAATCTGGACGTACTCGGCACCGGCCTCCTTCAGCTTCTGGAGGAGCTCGACGTATACCGGCAGCAGCTTCTCGAGAAGGGTGATGGGGTCGACGGACTGGCCACGGTCGGCCTTGCCGAGAGCGAGGAAGGAGACAGGTCCGATGAGGACGGGGCGGGTATTGATGCCCGCCTCCTTGGCCTCGAGGAACTCAGCGACGGGCTTGGGGTTCTCGGCGAGGGTGAAGGTCTGGTTGTCTTGGAGGGTGGGCTTGACGTAGTGGTAGTTTGAGTCGAACCACTTGACCATCTCCTGTAGTGGGGTTAGAGGGTGTTGATAACTCCCGAACTTTCGGGACTTACCAGCGAGGGGACGTCGACACCGTCCTTCTGGTGGCCACGGCCCATGGCGAAGTACTCATCGAGCTTATGCAGCGAGTGCTTGGAGTAGCGCTCTGGGATAGCCTAGTCCTGTTAGTCGGCCGCAGCGGGTATTGGATGACGTGTGCTTACGTTGAAGAGCTGGATGTGGTCGAGGAGGTGGTCGTAGAAGGCGAAGTCGTTGCTGGGAATGACATCGACGCCGGCGTCCTTCTGGATCTTCCAGTGCTCCAACCGCAGGCGCTTGCCCTCCTTGATCAGGTCATCGCGCGAGAGCTTGTCCGCCCAGTAGGCCTCGTTGGCCTTCTTGAGCTCACGGTCCGCACCCATGCGGGGGAAACCGAGTACTGAAGAGTGTACCATTGTGATGTGATTGTCCGATGCGGACAACTGTGATAATTGGGGGGATGGGTAGGATGTGGTAGAGGGGAGGGGGAAGAGGGTGAGGGAGGAAGGTGGGATGTAGGAGGAAGAGTGGTAGCGGATGGTGTGCTTTATGTTTTTTGCTGGCGTATGCAGCAACGTCGCGGGGTTGGCGCCTACGTGGCTCCGATTCGACGGTGCACTCACCGCCCTCAACTTTATTCTGCAACGGCGAGAACAATCCGCCGTTCGTCAGGGCTTCCCTCAATCTACGCAGTGTGGAGCGATTATCTTGGACTATCCTGCTGCTTTAGCGCTCCCATGCCCACAGCTATCGCGCACTAGCTCTGCTAATGCTAACTTTTCCCCAAAGCGACATCGGCGGAGGGGCGCTCGGAGCCTTGGCGGTGACGAGCTTGCGCAACTTCAAGCGTGTCCGGTGAGAATTCGGATGTTTCCACAGCACAGGGACGAGGCACCCTGTAAAGATTCACGCAGGAACGATCCCTTCTCGACTGGGTGTTGAGTATTGGCCATGTCTAACACGTCGTCCATGACAGCATGAATCAGCTCCGCGCCAGCTCTTAGCGGGTTCTGCATCTCAACAGGCATCTTCTGGGTTAGCTCAGACCCTGAAGATCATCGACATCGGGACAATGCCATCAACTCGTCTCGAGCAGAACACCAAGGCGGCATGCGAGTCAGGTGCCATCGGTGGTTTGCACTGCAGCTCTTCTCACGATGGTCGGTAAATGTCCGAGCGAAGGGTTCACGACGAGGCGGCGGAACCACCGAGTACTTGCCTTATTTAGCTGTCTCCACAACCCCGCATCGTGTATAAAACCCCGCCATCAACAAGCCAAGTAGACGATAACAAGCGCAACAACCCCCCGAGCCAGTGAAACACACACGGATAATATTCACACGCATATCACAATGGCCTCAAGACCGACTCACACCCGAACCGCCTCCACAAACCTGGCCGGCGGCTCAGGCCAGCGCGTGTTGGAAGGACGAAATGCCATCATCACCGGAGCATCTCGAGGTATTCCAGCCACATACCCAAACTACATCCCGTTCTAACACCCCCAGGCATCGGCGTAGAAATCGCCCGCAACCTCGCCAGCAAAGGCTGCAACGTCTCCATAAACTACACCTCCGACTCCTCGTCCTCGACCGCCTCCTCCCTCGCCTCCGAACTCTCCGCCGAATACGGTATAAAAGCCATCAGCGTCCAAGCAAGCATGGGTTCAGAAAACGGCCCCGCCCACCTCGTCGAAGTAACCAAGAACAACTTCCAGCACCCCAAGACGGGCAAGTTCCAACTCGACATCATCATCAACAACGCAGGCGTCGCTGGAAACAACTACGTCGAAAACGTGGATTGTGAGGACTTTGCTAGGCAGTTCAATATCAATGTACGGGGGCCGCTGCTGCTGGTGAAGGCGGCGACGCAGTATCTGCCGAATGATCGATCGGGCCGTATCGTTAACCTCAGCTCTGTGAGTTCGAGCCTGGGATACAAAGGCCAGTCTATCTACGGCGGTACAAAGGCGGCGCTGGAGAGCATGACGAGGACGTGGTCAAGGGAGTTGGCGGAGCGCTGCACGGTTAATGCGATTAACCCTGGTCCTGTTGCTACGGATATGTACTGGAGTAATGACGACGCGTTCATTGCGCAGAACAAACCGTTTATCGAGAATACACCTCTTGCAGCGCCAAGGAAGGGGATCGATCCGGAGAGGATCTATGAGGCGAGCCAGGGTGCGGGTGGAAGGCCGGGGTATAGTGAGGAGATTGGGGGTGTGGTGGGAATGCTGTGTTTGCCTGAGGCGGGGTGGACTACGGGTAGTGTGATTTGTGCGAATGGTGGTATGAAGTTCAGCTTCTAGGCATCGGCGAGGGTAACGAGGACATGAATGAGAACAACAAGAATATGACATCAGCAAGGACGGTTTTTTGTGAGGTTCCTAGTCTACCGTACACACGTAACACTCTGCCTCACATCCCCCTTCCCACACTCCCCTACCTCACTCTCAATAACCACACTCGACGTCTTTCTGATCCCCCCATCTCCGTCTTCTTTCACAACAATCCCTCGTTCCGAATCCCTATCACACATCCACCCCGCACTCATCCTGTCCTCGCTCTCCACGCTGACGCCATCGTCCTCTACATGTTCATACCTCATCGTCGATTTAGTCCGCACACCAATTCTCTCGAGCTCGGATTGATGCTGCGAGCCATCCGCATCATGTCCTCCTGCACTACGACTTTGTTTGGTACCGCGACTTCGATTCCGACTGCTACGTAAGGTAGATTCGCCGATGAGGTGGGGGGCGACGTGTCGGAAGAAGAGGCGCATGGTGGGTAGGCAGCCGGTTATTATTACGAGGTTGGCTTCTATGAGGCTGTTTGAAGGTTAGGTAATGCGTTTCATGGTAATAGATTGGGTGAATGGCGATATGGAGATTTTGATTTAGGGTGTGGTGTGGTGTGGTATGGGGTGGAATTGTATGGACTTACATCCAGATACCCGGCATAACGATCGCCCAGGTCTGATCGACGGTTTGGAGCATGGGGAAGAGGAGGGCGAGGCGGACGCCACTTGTGATGCATGTCCTGATTTTTTCTATCAGCTTTATGCCTCACATAACTTACGCCGGACTCATGGCAGGACTGGTGACTTACAGCGAGCCCACCCCAAAAATACATATCAACCCCATCTTCTGCGCCCTCGGAATCTGCAACCTAACCACCATCGGCACCGGCAGCACAAGCAACAAGATATCCGTAGCCATGTTCAACACCGCCGTCGCCATATAGAGAGGTGTCCTATCAATGCAACTTCCTTCGGTGATGGTAACATCCCAGTTCCGTTTGAAAGGCGTACAAGCGAAGATGAGGGGGAAGACAAGTGCAATGTTGTATCCAACAACGAGGAACATGCTTGCGTAGACACATGATTTGAACCAGCGGAGGTGGGATAGGCGGAGGTAGAAGAAGAGGAGGGAGAGCTTGGCGCTCGCGAGGAAGGGGCAGTAGATTATGCTTGCTACGCTGATCAACTGTTGAGTGGTCAGGCGGGATTATTAGGAGGGGTTGATGGCGGCGCTTACGTTCATGGTAGAGTTAACGCGATGGCCGGTCAGTTCCCAGATGTGGATGCCGAGTGTGCCGCGGCCGTATTGGACTGCTAGGTTGTTAGATCGGGGACGGTGGGAGTGGGCCTTGCTAGACGCACAGAGAATGGGAACTTGTATTGCGATGGAGAAGCACTGCAGGTCTGATCGTTAGCACGAATTGTCGAACATGCATGTTCTTCAAGCTGCGATGCGACGCACCCAGGCTATGAGCAGCGCTACTATAGATGTTGTCAGAAACAAGATGCAATGTTTCGGCCTTTGTCGATCTCGGCCAGACCTGAAGAGCTTACTATCATCTGGTGTAAAGTTCTTCGCTAGCCTTGTTTTCGTGTAGACGCGTATAGCCATGAAGATGGCGGCAACAATCATGCCCAATGTGCCAATCCAGAAGTTGGCAGCCTCGCCCGTTCTTTGCGGGTTATCGACATCAACGAGATATCCAGGCGGAGCCGGAAAGATGGGCTTGTTCATGTCCATGATGCAATTATTTGGAGAAAGTGTGCGTCCCTATTCATCGGCTGTCGTGTCTATATTTCAGTTCGCATTCTCGTCCCCATCGTCCGGGTCATCACAATCCGTCATTTCTTGCTTTGGTCAACCAACATCCTCAACATGTAACTATGCTCCATGCCGCATGAGATCCTGCTATTAACTGTGATGGTCAGTTATAGCGCACAAGCAATGACACTGTACACGCCGCATCGCTTAGGCAATGAGGCTCGCACATGCAGCATGAGATTGGCCTGGAGTACTGCACCGCCGACCAAGAACTTGGTCAGTATACCTGTGCCACTCCACTGCATCGGAATCATGGCTGTGCATGGCAATAACGGCTCAGATGTCTTCCTGCCTGGCGGAAGCTTGGGGTGAGCACAAGCATGCCAAGGTTGTGGCGTTCATGGAATTGGCCATCCCTTAGGCGTCGCATCCACCAGTATGGTTGACCGAGGTCCGCGAAGCGTCTGTTGATAGCCGTTAAAACGACTGTGCCTCGTTCCTAGCTCTCCGCGGTCCGCTCGCCAGGGTCGCGGATGATCCCCAAATTAACTGCTTGTGCCGAGCCGTGTGTAAAGTGATCTCGAACCTATGGAGAAGCATACGTTCAAAGACCCCTGTAAGCCACCTTTTAGCGAACAAATTGACGGCATTGCCGCTTTGCTGCCGACGGGTGTATAGCCTTCGCGGCACAGGTCGAACGCCACATCGGGTCCAGTTCTGGACACAATTTTGGCATCCTTCGAGCATCCAGCTTCATCTCATATGTCGAGTCATTGCGGAGCAGGAATTGCGCATCCTTGCTGAGGTTAATCCCTCAACCTGTTGAGAGATATGAGCGGGTAGAAAAGCGTGCCACAGCCTGCGTCAACGTTTCGACCATCGAGTGTTCCTTGTGTTATTTCTCCATCTATTGAACTTGTCAGTACCATGACTCGCTTATCCCTTACCTTACTTGCGGCAGCGGCTGTCATCCCATTCGCGCATGCTGACTATTGCGTGAGGCTGCTCTTTAATTCCCTTCTATTCGAAACGTCTGCTAACATCTGCAGTGCTCCGCTCTTGCTCTTACGTCCCTAAAGAATCGGCTGCTATACCCTGGTCAAGATGCGTATGAGACGCGGGAAGATTCATACTTCGATGTGAAGCAGCAGGTTATCACACCCAACTGCATTGTCCAGCCCAAGACCGCAAAAGAAGTCGCCCTTGCTGTCAAGACCCTCACAGCTGCTAGTCGATTGAAGTCATGCAAGTTTGCGGTTCGTAGTGGTGGACACACGCCATACGTCGGAGCCTCAAACATTGAGGATGGCGTAACACTCGACTTGCACTATCTCAGCACCGTTGAGTATGACGCTAAGAAGGCTTTGGTCAAAGTCGGTCCTGCGGCAACTTGGAACGACGTATACGATACGCTGGAGCCACTGAACGCGATGACGAGTGGTGGGCGTTCGTCCACAGTTGGTGTCGGCGGTCTTACGCTTGGCGGTGGGATCTCGTACTTTTCTCCGGGGCGGGGTCTGGTCTGCGACAACGTCATCGAGTTCGAGGTCGTCCTTGCTGACGGTCGTATTGTGACCGCGTCCAAGACTTCGCGTTCAGATCTCTTTGCTGTCCTCAAAGGCGGCAACAATAACTTCGGCATCGTTACCAGCTTCAAATTCGGCACCTTCGACTATGCCGGCATGTGGGGCGGCCTTGTCATTTACCCAGAGTCGACCATCCAAGATCATTTCAAGGCCCTGATCAACTTCTCCAACAACATTGACAAGGAACCGAAAGGTTCGGCTATCGTCATGCCGGTGTATCAGAGCTCAGCGGGGGCCGACTTGATACTGAACGCGTACGACTATGCTGAGCCAGTATCAAGACCCGCGGCCTATGACGAGTTTTTGGCGATTCCTGGCAATATCTCGGACTCCACAGGTATCAGGAACATGTCGTCGCTGGCAGCGGAACTCGCAGGCGCTACTACACATAGGTAAGCTAAATGCGCCTCCTGTTCTTAACAGATGCTGATCAACAACCTAGCGTGTACTTTGGTACGCTGACTTTCGCGAACGATCTTCGCGTCATGACCAAAGCCCATGAGATCTACATGGATGTGCTGTCCAACCTGAAGGCCAAAGCCACGGGTGACTGGCAGATCTATGTGCTCTATCAGCCCCTTCCGCCTTCGTACTGGAGGCAGAGCGCGTCCAAGGGCGGCAACATGCTGGGCTTGGAGCGCTTTGGTGAACAGGTGCTGTGTCGTAAGTTGCTCTGGGATTCTGTAACGACTGCATACTGATCAGTGAACATAGTATACCAACCCTACATCTCTTGGCAAGGTGCTGAGCAAGACGCGCTCTTTCAAGCCGCAGGCGCCGATCTCGTCAACGGAATCCGCGAATATGCTGAGAGCATCGGTGCCGACAACCCATACCTGTACCTAAACTACGCGGATAACACGCAAGACCCCCTCGCAAGCTATGGTTCCGCTTCCGTGAGGAAGATGAAGGCTGCAGCGAAGAAGTATGACCCTGCGGGTGTCTTCCAGAAGCTCGTGCCTGGAGGCTTCAAGATCTCGAATGTTCAGTAGGTGGTGGATGTGATTTCATAGCACGAATCGATAGCCATAATGTGTCGGTGTGATAGCAACATGACCATATCGTTCTTGGAAGTGCGACTTCCGTTGTGACTGACGTGCATACTCCATTCGGATGGCGTTCCGAGGTGTCAACACCACTCTTGGGCTGGAGTCAAAGCAAAAGACTGCAACGAAACCTCGTCGCGCAATCCGGAGATAATGAAAATTGTGAATTTGGAGATGCTGGAGAACACCCGTTGTTGACGTGCTGGCGTCATGAAGGCTGGCGTAAAGGAAGGCAGGGTGGCAGGCAGGCGTGAAAGCCAAAGCCAAATTTCGCTTGGCGGGCCCACTTGGGTCACGCTAGCCGTATCTGATGACGCGCCGACACGCGTGTCGGACTCGAACATTGCGTCCATCTCATCCCATCACTTCTTTCCTGGGTGAATACCGCATCATCCTGCGTGGTACGACCCTTCTCACGTCATTTTTGCCCCCAGGCGAAGGCGTCTGTCTCAGCGAGGGCTGACTTCGCTTTGGCTGCGCGTCCCGGTTCACTTCCACACGGTAGGCAAGACGCGTTTAGGGACGCGCCTCGAGTCATTCGTGCTGTATGACTGCGCACATCCAACATGGTCCCGACATCAAAAATTGAGAACGTGATGGACGCACGCGTCTCAAGACTCTAACTTTACGTAGAAACGCCATTAAATTATCTTCTGCTACATCACATTACACGCCCGCTCATGCATCATCTGCAGATACTTCTCCTTAAACTGTCTCTGCAACACCACCCTCTGCTTCTCCAGCTCCGCCGCATGATTCGCCTGAGCCCTTAGCATATTCTCCCTTGCCGACACCTCGCTCTCTTCAAACCGCTTCTTAGCATCCTCTATCAGCTGCGCCGCACTAACCTGTAAATTCTGCATCTCCTGCTGTTGCTTTGCGATATTGTCTTGATATTGTTTCCGCGATGCTTCCAAAATCTCACGGTCTTCTTTGTTGCTTTGGTCGCGGGCCTCTTTGAGGTCTTGTTCCAGCTCTTTTAGCTTCTTTTCGTAGTGTTTGATGAGCGTCTCTACGGATGATGCTAGGGCGCCTCCGGCGCCTGTGTCGACTAGTTCGAGGTTTTGGTCGACCATTTCGCGCTGTATGTCGAGTGTTACGGGCTTTTTGCGCTTCATCAGGTATTTGATGATCTTCAGCGCTGACGACTTTCCTTTGTCGTGACGGAATACGCAGCTTCCGTGGTCTATCATTCGTTTCCATAGCTGTGGTTGTTCTTGTAGTTCTCTTTCGCGTTCGATTGCTGCATTTGGTGAGGCCATGTCCCACATTGTTGTCGCTAACACCACGCTTGACAGCGGGCCGTCACCACACAGCTTTTGGAACATTTTTATGTTCTTAATTCCGCTACCGCCTACTCGCACATCTGAGATCCGTTGGAGGAAGATGATTCCAGCTAGTCGCAATTTCTCCGTGTGCGCCTTGTTCAGCCAGAGCGCGACTTCGCGCAGGATTTCGGAGTCGGACCGATAGGTGTCATCGAAGCCAGGGGTATCGACCAGGTAGACCTTCGTGCCGTCTTCGAACGTACAAGGTACAACTTGCACTGATACCGTGCCTGGAGTTCACTTAGTCCACGGTGCATAGGGGGGAGGAAAATAGCTCTCACATGAGTCTAGTCCATGCCCAACCTCGAGCTTGCGATCAGAGAAGAGGTTCACGAAAGTAGTTTTTCCGCAGCCAGTTATGCCCATCACTGCAATAATTATGTCGTCGGGCCTTCGCAATGAAGTCAGTAGATAGCCGTCAGAGGGTTGATAGGCTCGTACGTCAATTCCGGCAGAGGAGGTACCTCGCGATGAGGGCTATCCACTCTATTCGTCATACTTGTGGTTAATTCGTCGTAACTACGGATGAAGGGCAAAGGATATGTTGTTTTCTAGTCATCCAAGTCACTCAAGTTGAGCGATGGAAGCTTCTCATTCCTGGAGTGGATGCTGTAGCATAGCCGACAAGGCGACAAGGCAACCGCTTTGTAAGGAACTATCCTGGGATGGGAACTACAGGTTCATGCATAGCCTCACATGACGCTAGTACCAGCCTTGCGCCTCGATGTGCGGCGTTGCCTTTGTATGCAAGCCCCCGGCTTAGTGATGTGGTGACAACGCACCACGGCGGCTAATAGGCTAGCGAACGACGAACCAACGTCGTAAGTGCCCCTCCATTGCAGAGCACCGATATTGCAGTTATCGCGCAGTCGTCCTTTGTAGTTCACCGGATAGTTCTCAGCTCCGCGATGCCCCCACGTTTTATCTTGCGCGCACTCCATGGCGGGGCAGTGCATGCAGCCCAAGTGTCGTGACACAGCTTGTTTTACTGAAGGTTTATGCAGCCACGCGCTGAGCTGGTATAGACTGTGCCACACTAGATAGTATCTGGAGATGAGAAATTTTGAATGTCTGGAAGTTCATGCAGATGCGGCGATCGAGACCCTACGTCATTGCAAGCCTAGCGATAGCTACACGATACATCTCTCATGGCTAAGCTTGGTACGGAGTGAAGATCTGCTCGCCCAAGAGTGATGAATACCTGAGAGAAGTTAATCGCAGTTGTATCGAACCCGTCTACTCTATCCACGGTAATTGTAATCGCCTGGTGGGCCACTGCTATGTGAAGGAGCCCTGAGAAGATGCTGGCCATACGGCGGACCCGCGGAATGTGGGATTCTTCGCATCAGAGGCTGAGGCTGTGGTGGTGGAACGCGCACCATCCCAGTAGGATCGCTAGAAACATCATGAGGCGAGACGTGATAGCGACTGTCATGTACATATGGGGCCGCAGGTGTATACGAATGGGGATGATGCGGCGTGTACATCGGAGGCGCTGGGTCCTCCATATCGCTGTCAGACTCGCTCTCTGATTCATCAAGATAGCCAGGCTCGTCGGTCTGTTGATCCTGGAGGTACTGCGGAGTAGTGTGAGGCTGTTTTGGATGATCATCCGAGGATGTGCGCTTGATACCTGGTCGACGACTTTTTGATCGACTTCGCTTCCAAGCCCTTGTACCAGTCTTCTTAGAGATCATTGTCTCTATGGGCATGGAGTCGGCTCGACGTGGTGGTGGTATGATATCTCCAGCGGGTCTTAGGGCGAAGAAATCTCGCATCCACATAATGACCTCCTTTGGCCGCCTTTCCTTCGTTTTCTCGCGCACAACTTGATCTCGTTCCTTGGCCTCTGCTATCTCTTGCCTAACCGCTTCGATCCTTTCCAGACCTCCATGTTGGGCAAGGAGACCTTCTACACGCTGCTCTTCTATTACTCTTTTCAGCCCTTGAACCTCATGCTCAAGCTCGAAAATGCGCGCGGAGTTGTTTCCATGCACTATATCCTCTGGCGGGTCGTTCCGGCCGATGCTACACCCGGCTACCTGCTCATTCCGCATGTCTTCGAGTGTGACGGAAAGACTCCTTTGATCAGTTATAATGCTGTTGACGTGACGTATACAGTCTTCAGCTTGCTCAACGAATTCGCTTCTTAGGTCATCATCATCCTCAGCCTCCTCTGCACACTCCTCTAGCTCCCGCTTTTGCGTCTCGTACTTCTCGCGTGCATTGGCAAGTTCACCGTCGATGTATCTTCCTGCTGTTGTGTCTTCGAGTTTCGTAGCCACGCCTCGTCGCATCTCGCGCTGCAATTGCAGACTGACCTTTCTCCATCTATCTGCTAATGATTCGACAATCCGGATGCCGCTGTAGGTATCGCCTTGGTATTGCTCCATCCTAGCTCCACCTCTTATCATATTTCCAAAGAACTCAGGTCTTTCCCCCATCATGTCTTCACGCATCCTTGCGGCATCATGCGCTTCCTTCGTCTTCAGCGAGTTCCACATCGTTGTAACAATCACAACGTCCTGAAAGTTTCGCTCGCCGCAGATCTTCTCAAATATCCGGAGGCTCTTGAGGGAAGATCCCGACATTCTCATGTCTGTTATCCGCTGAACATAGATCATACCTCCGATTGGGATACTGCGCCCATAGCCATCGCAATAGGTGCAGATGAATGAAGCAATCTTTCGAAAGACCGCTGCGTATTCCAAATGAGTGTCGTCAAAGCCTGGCGTGTCGATGAGATATACTAGTTGGCCGTTCCTTCGCTGCAATGTCTGAAACACGACATCAGTGGTACCTTAAAATGATTAGGTCTATGTTCCGATCATTCAAGATGAACATACATGACTCTAGCGAATGCCCGATATCTGCACTCTTCTGTGTGACTTGGGAAATGAATGTGCTTTTGCCAGCGCCAGTGAGGCCCATAACGAGAATGCCAATCGCCCTAGCGACAGATCAGACAAAGAAACTGGACAGATGCTCAGCTCATACCGAGAAGACGGCGCATTCTGGTTGAACCGCGTAACTGTAAGAGCTGTAGGAGGAAATGTGTTGGACGAGCTTCCATGTGAGCGGATCGGCTCCAGCGCATCATGACTTCCCCTTCTGGTCGGCGAGATGTCGAGAGCGCTCATACTGCGCACATTACACTGATGCGGTTCTCGTAGTAGGAGGTCGCGTTGCAATGAGGCAATGCGATGACAGTAGATGCAAGCGCATCCAAAGCTGCCAAGACGGGCAGGCTACAGTGCTGCACACTCTAGCTGGGATGCTGACCTTAGCTGACGCTGTCATGCGGCCTGCAGGCGGAATCGCGCACGGACCGTACCTAGGCGCAGAGGCGTACTTGAGGATTGCCTGCGGCACAGCAATTGCGGTAGCTTTGACGTGTACGTTGCTGATTGGCGGTTCCCATGCGGCGGGCAGGTGGGCTGTACAACCTTGCTGCAGGATTGCATTTAGCCGCATCGAGAGCTGCTGCGGCGTAACAAGGCTATAGCAACGTGATCACTGGACAATATCCCGACCCAACCGTACACTTTGATTTGCGACTTGGTAAAGTCACCCATCGTTCCACAATGGAAACCGTGAATCTTGAAGGCTCGAAGCCAGTTGAGTAGGTAGACTCCGGTTATACAATCGCAAAACTGACTTGGCCTGGCAGCCCCGATGACCTTTTCGTCGCAGTCATGGGCATGACTGGTGCTGGCAAGTCTACCTTCATCGAACATTGTACCAATTCTCTAGAACGCCTTTCCGGACATGAACTAGCATCTTGTAGGCTTCTCGACAGCCCTGAAGCCTAAATGATTGTTGATACCATTGAACAGGTACAAGCCAGGTATCGATACACACCACTAGCGTACTCGGAAAAACGGTTCATCTGATAGACACGCCCGGCTTCAACGATAGTCGGCGATCCGATGGAGAGACACTACAGGAACTGGCATACTGGTTAGCAGCCGCTTACGAAAGAAGGATCAAACTCAGCGGAATCGTTTACCTTCATTGCATCACAAACAATCGCTTACAAGGCTCCGCGGTGCGTGCGCTGAGTGCCTTTAAGAGCATGTGCGGAGAAGAAGCATTTTCCGGAGTGGTCGTGGCAACTACCATGTGGGATAGAGCTACCAAAGATGAGCTCGTAAGAGCCGAACTGCGACACGAGGAACTCCGCGAGAAAGTCCAGGATGTTATACAGCACGGCGGTAAACTAGTCAGGCTATCAGCTGTAGAGATAGATGCAGGAAAAATACTTCAACACATCGTGGGAAAAAGCAGGAGGCTAACACTGGCGTTCCAGCGAGAGTTGGTAGATGAGAATCAGCTCATCCATGAGACGCGGGCCGGTCAAGTCTTGTTTGAGGATCTGAAAGAATCGTTCGAGACATTACAAGCCAAGATTGACGATGCGCGTGGAAGATTAGCCAAGATGGCTCATAATTCCCGGAGAGACGAGTTGCACGAGCTTGAAGATGCCATCATCGAGATGAATGCGAACATGCGGTCCGTGGACGAAGACATGGAGCGTACGAAAGTAAACCTCCGCGACATCCGGATGGTATGGGACAAGAATCTTGCACGAGATGATAAAACGATTCTGGCGAGCGCGCAACTTATCGAGCGGCGATTGGAGACCGAGCGTCGTCAGCAGGAAGTCAGAAGTGATGCCCAAACACCTTCACCCGACGACGGCTACGAAGCCTCAAGTGCAGGATTTTCTTCAGCAAATACACTGCAAACCTCGCAAAGCTACATGTCGCTCAGGTTGGAACAGCTGGAGAAAGAACGCGACGCGCTTACGTATCAAATGGGCCAAAGACTGAATAGACGATACACGGCGCCGCATGGACGAGGGGCGACGAGGATAGGAGCCATAGGCGCTGGTCTAGCTGTAGCCCAGCTCGTCGTAGCAATGGCGTGCACGGTGATGTGAACAGCGTGGGGAGTGTCAAGGAAGACAGGAGCAAATGGGCTGCTCACACAGCGGCGAAATCGGGGACGCGCTTCACGCTAGTGCTTTTCGGATATGACCCCACTTAATCGAATCGCGCTTCAAATGTTCGAGCTCCAAAACACCACGCAGCCTCCAACACCAACATCATCGCTCCGACAACCACGTTGCTTTATGGGCCTGGGTACACGGCCCTACGCGCATTAACCTGCGATGACTAAATTGAGCGCTCTCAGCGGCGTCTGTGTCATCATGGGGTTGTAAACCTCGCCTCTCCTTACGCGCCTCGAACCTATCTTACGCGATCGGTATGCTTCTTGAGCGAGTAACCTCTACTTCGCGAAAGCGCATGTTCTACCTAGCGTTATTACGACCACGTGTAGAGCAAGATTGGCATTGACGAAAGCGACAATGCATCCTCGATGTGTGTTGAAGCGTCTCGGTGGGCTGTAGATTCCCAGCACTACTACATTTTCCATTCACCCGTTACTAACTATTTGCAATTGTCAGTGCATTTGCGTTTCATCGAAAGAAGTGTTAAAACACTGGGCGACCTCACTGATCGTATGCACAATGGCTTGCAGGGTCATACGACCGGATCTTCCTGCTTAACATCAAATCACAACCACTCAACTTAATTCGCCCACAACATCCGAGTATGGCTCCAGTTGTACATGAGATCGACCCAGACGCGGATACAGTCATAATCTTACGATCACCGGGTGATGGTGAATACTTCGCTTGGTGGGATGATTCACCGTTCGACAACCTTGACATACTTGATCAACTCCCTTTCAGCATGAAAGAATGGGACACAAAGATGTCGATCTCGGACGATATTGAAGTTCACCAGTCGCCTGCGAGGGCATTCGTCACGAAGGAGTCGGATTGGGTAATCCTTAATGTTCCTGAGGGATGTGTCCTTTATCTTGTCTCGTCACGCCATCTCGAACTGGCGTCACCGGTCTTCAAAGCAGCGCTCTCACCTGGTACCTGGAGTGAGGGATGCAAGCAGGCCGACGGTCGTTACCATATCACAGCAGATGATTGGGAGGAGGAAGCATTCCTCCTCTTCATGAACATGCTACACCTACGCAGCCCTCAGATCCCGAAGTCTGTGAGCCTCGAACTAATGGCGAAGCTGGGAATCCTCGTCGACTATTACGACTGCGCTAGTGCGGTGGAATTCTTCACTGCGGTGTGGATGAACAAAATCTATGGTGATAAAATGGAGGGTGAATACTGCCGCGAGTCGATACTGCTGCTTTGGGTTTTCTGTCTCTTCGGGAGCAAAGATTGTGTCGCTCTCCTTGTTGAGATAATGACCTTTTACTGCAACGAGAGCAAACTACGCACCTTGGGACTTCCCATGCCCCAATCTTTGTCAGGTAAGTTGACGATGTTGCTCTGAAACACATGTAGTGTTCTAACTAGCGGTAGATGAGATCGAACATCGGCGATATGAGCTTATCAACAAGAAGTTGTCATATCTGCATTATAAACTGACAATGAACCCCAAGCCGAATGAACACATGCCAGATAGACTGCGAGAGACACTGAGGCGAACTATCGGTGGGCAAAGACGTTCATGCGGATATCCCTACCGTGAGATCACTGTGGCAGCACTCGAGAGGGTCCTTCTTGACTACTCTCAGGAGCAAGTAGAGGCTATACTCGAACTCGAAGCCACTCGTATCGAGTGGTTCCGCGCAAACGGCTTCGAGCTCTGCTGGAACAATCACGAGCTGAGCTATGAGTAGAGGACACTGAGAATCAGGTACGAGGATGCTACGCGTCTCGCGGAGCTTTGGGGACGAAGTTATTTCTCACACATGTGGCTTATCGGCAGCATACACATCGGTACAATGTGCTGGAGCCTTTAGAATGGCAAGTCTCTGGAAGTAACGATGGAGTCAATGAAAGGCAACGACTGATATCTTGATATATGTCCCAGGGAGTTCGGTCCTCATAGGCGGGCCGTTCGCAATATTAGTCTGGTGTTTATCCGCCCGATATGTGCGACGATCTCAGCATATTATACTTGCGACTTCTCTGATTTGCGACGATCTCAGCTACGGTTCCTTCCAGGATGCTGGTGGCGGCGAAAATCATAGAAACCCAGATTGCTCGCAATTACCAAACGATCTAGGAAGATCTCGAATGCAGGTGACATGCTCTAGAGACCAATACTACATTGTTACCGGAAGGTGCTCGTATGTGCCTTGCATGAACTGTGGCCGAGGCAGTGGTCCGGTTATAACGCCAACCCAAGTGGGCGGCCCTAGCCCGGTGCTAACGAGCGCGCACAGAACAAGATCCACACGTCACAACCTGTCACAACCACCCATGTGGGGTCATCGGTCATGTTATCGCAACGCCACGGCCAAAACAAGAAGGAGGTTATCCGGCACACAAGCCTTGTCAAGAGCCCCAGTCCGAGGCTTGTCTTTCTTAGCCCCTTGCTTGGACACTGTCGGTTCCATTCAACGCATCGCGTATGCGCACCACGACATGAGCGACAATCGCAATCTAAACTCCATGGGGTAGGTCGGTAATAACTCGACTATCATGCAGGGACTGGAGTCGACCGTGGGTGCGGTATAAAACTACAATGCAGTCCGCTGTTCGTTGTCTCTTCATCCGCATTCGCTTCGGACTACCTTCGCTCAAGGAAACCGGTTGTGGCAAAGATGGCTCCTGTGCTTTCATTCATCGTTGGCTCGCTGTTGGCTGTGAGGGCTTTCGCCGAGCCATTTGAGAAGCTCTTCGAAGTTCCAGAGGGTAGGTTGTATGCCGTAACAAGTTTGGATCTGTGCTAACGATCAACAGGATGGAAGCTTCAAGGCCCAGCATCTGATGCGCACACGCTCAAGCTCCAGATCGCGCTCACGCAAGGCGATACCGCGGGTTTCGAGCAGACCGTCATGGACATCTCTACGCCCTCAAACCCAAAGTACGGCCAGCACTACGAGTCGCACGAGGAAATGAAGCGCATGCTTATGCCCAGCGAGGAGACCGTTTCGTCCGTCTCTTCGTGGCTCAAGTCTGCCGGCATCGAGAAGTTCGAGACCGATGCCGACTGGGTGACCTTCAGGACTACCGTCGGTGTTGCCAACGAGCTCCTCGGAACGAAGTTCTCTTGGTTCGTTAGCGAGGAGAGCACACCCCGCAAGGTTCTCCGCACCCTTGAGTACTCCGTGCCTGACGAGATTGCCGATCACATCAACCTCGTTCAGCCGACTACTCGCTTCGCTGCTATCCGCGCGAACCACGAGACTGAGCGTGAGATCTTCGGTATCCAGCTCGCTTCTTCCCCCAACATCACTGTCAACTGTGATGCATCCATCACCCCCCAGTGCCTGAAGCAGCTCTACAAGATCGACTACACCCCCGACCCCAAGAGTGGCAGCAAGGCAGCTTTCGCATCCTACCTCGAGGAGTACGCTCGCTACAGCGACCTCGCCCTCTTCGAGAAGAACATCCTTCCCGAGGCCGTTGGCCAGAACTTCTCCGTCGTCCAGTTCAACGGTGGTCTGAACGACCAGAACTCCAGCGACGACAGTGGCGAGGCCAACCTGGACTTGCAGTACATGCTCGGTCTTGCCCAGCCTCTGCCCGTCACCGAGTACAGCACCGGCGGCCGTGGCCCATGGGTGGCTGATCTCGATCAGCCCGACGAGGCCGACAGCGCCAACGAGCCCTACCTCGAGTTCCTCCAGAGCGTGCTCAAGCTTAAGCAGAAGGACCTTCCCCAGGTCATCTCCACCTCCTACGGCGAGAACGAGCAGAGCGTGCCCAAGTCGTACGCCCTCAGCGTCTGCAACCTCTTTGCTCAACTCGGTAGCCGCGGTGTGTCCGTTATCTTCTCCTCCGGCGACTCTGGTACCGGCTCTGCCTGCCTTTCCAACGACGGCAAGAACACGACCAAGTTCCAGCCCCAGGTAAGTTCTGACTGTACGGAGTGCATGTAAGACATATACTGACTTCGTACCTCTCTAGTATCCCGCTGCATGCCCCTTCGTCACCTCTGTTGGTTCTACTCGCTATCTCAACGAGACTGCTACTTTCTTCTCCTCCGGTGGCTTCTCCGACTACTGGAAGCGTCCCTCGTACCAGGACGATGCTGTAAAGGCATACTTCCACCAGCTCGGCCAGAAGAACAAGCCCTACTTCAACCGTCACGGACGTGGATTCCCTGACGTTTCTGCCCAGGGTTTCGGTAAGCAAAACTCTTTTCCGAACTATATGCAAGAAAATTACTAACACACATCTCCAGGTTACCGCGTCTACGACAAAGGCTCTCTCAAGGGCTACCAAGGAACCTCCTGCTCGGCCCCCGCATTCGGCGGCATCGTCGCTCTCCTCAACGACGCCCGCCTGCGAGCCAAAAAGCCCGCTCTGGGTTTCTTGAACCCCCTGCTGTACTCCAACCCCGATGCGCTTAACGACATCGTTCTCGGTGGTAGCACTGGATGCGATGGCCATGCCCGCTTCAACGGCAAGCCCAATGGCAGCCCGGTTATCCCGTATGCTAGCTGGAACGCTACTGCGGGATGGGACCCGGTTTCTGGTCTTGGCACACCGAACTTCCCCAAGCTGCTTAAGGCTGCTATGCCCGCTAGGTATAAGGCTTAGATGAGCGGATGGGATGTTCTAAAGGATCTCGATAGATATAGAATTGGACATAATCTAATTGAAGCATTGAAGAACAACTGCATTGACCAATCTTGGAGACCGGAGTGATGGACTGGTAATATGAGCTCCTCGCCCTGTCATGATGAAGGACATCGGCAAAGTCTTCTATGCAGGGTCTCATCTGACCCCAGTTCCGTTGCTATTATATGACACATCTTCAGATCTGCACGACCGTTCGTTCATCGTATCGGTGTTCTCGTAGAGGCATGCTGCACGCGTAAAGCTGGAGAGGGCGGATGTGGTTACATAAGCGGAGCACGAGCCATCTCAGCCGCCGGATGACGTAG